ATCATAGATTGGGACTTAGAGGAAGTTTTGGGAACTTTGTAATGGGTTCTACCTCCTCAGAAAGAATTTCTGAAAGAATTCATCTACATCCAGGGTGTTCTTTCTGTCCTCCACTAAAGCCCCATCAAAACTGGTAATGAGTTATTAGCAACAGTTTAGATTTCATTATTTTATATTTTAAAATGTGTTACTTTCTTGAAATGTTTAAAATTTAAACTGATTTTATTCTTAATAATCGATGAGCCGTTTGCTTTGCCCTTGTTAAATTGCTTAATAAAGTATCCGATCTGAAATTAAACTTAATTATGTGGACGTTCCCTTTGGGATTTTCTTTTTAAATGAAAAGGTAAAACTTGGGTATGAGTTTGAACATCTACTTTTGTGAGGATCTTATAGGTTATTCTAGCCTTTAAGAATTAACAGATCCCTGAGGCTACCTGTCCAGGTCACCAAAGTAAATTTTGTAGCAAATTTGCTGGCAAAACTGATTGTACCTTATTCAGGGTTGGTAGTGTGGTGCATCATCTAAACTATTGTGGTACTACCCCTAGGATCAGACACTCAGGCAATTTCAATGGAGACCTAGTCCAGACTTCTGTACAGAGGTAACTGGGATCTTAACAGGCTTTAAAGGGTGAAGTGACTTTTTGTGCACTATTGCGTTGAGATCTGGTGACTGTGGAGCCCATTCAAGTACAATGAACTTGCTGGCATCTTCAAGAACCCAATTTAGAAAAATCTGAGCTTTGTGACATGGTGTGTCATTCTGAGGCTGCCATCTGAAGATGGGTACACTATGGTCACAAAGGGATGAACATTGTCAACTCAATACTCAGTAAGGCTGTGGCATTTAACTAATGCTCAGATGGTACCAAGGGGCCCCAAGTGTGCCAAGAAAATATCAAATTACACCACCAACAATAGCCTGCACAGGCTCACCAAATTTGGCAAGCCTGTGCAAATTGTAACCTCCATTTCCTGTTCTCAGCTGACAGGAGTGGCACCCTGTGTGGTCTTATGCAGTTGTAGCACATGTGCTATGTGTCAGAAAATAAGGAATAATAGGTCCACTTTAGTAAGAAATATCACATAAATGTCCAATCAATGAAGATAATAGGAATATCTAAAGCAGTGAATATAATAATGTAGAGAAGACGTTGCATTAAATATACCTTAAATGTGGCACATTTCAAACATTTGACATTAAACTAAAGCTTGACAAGTCCTTTAGATTTATTTGGTTGCTTTTTACCCTCATATTATCTTTATATTATCCCAAGGTAGGAGTAAGTAAGCATTTCCTACCCTGAAAAACATTTACAGTACATCTGGAAAGTATTCACAGTGCTTCGCTTGTCCTTTTAATTATGTTACAGCCTTATTCCAAAATGAATTCAATTATTTTTTTCACCTTAAAATGCTAAACACAATACCTCATAATGGCAAAGTGAGAGTAGTTTGCTTGTAATTCTTGGAAATTTGTTTTTAAGAAAAATAGGCATTTTTACCTTTTTTGGACTGTGGAGCAGTGAAGACAGACAGGACAGTGAGGAGAGAGAGGGGAAGTCATGCAACAAAGGGCTGCAGGTTGTTTTGATAAATTTGTAAGAATTTCAAGCAAATGTTTTTCATTTTGTTATTATGGGGTGTTGTGTGTAGCATTTCGATGTAAACCATGACTTTAATCCTTTTTGGAATAAGGCTGTAACATAACAAAATGTGGAGCAAGTGCCGTGAATGCTGTCCAGATGTTGCTGTAAAGCATGGGTGCGTTTCAGAGATGCTATTGTGCTGTTTAATCCCATGATTACTATTAACCTTTTCATAGTCAGACTCTTTTCAAGTCCACATAAAAAAAATTTCAGTTGAGCAGACAGAGTGGGGACAGTTCATTTGTACAAATCAGAAAAACAAAATGCAACTTACTAAGTTGTATTCTCATAGTAGTCCATTGAGGTGACGTTGTGTAAGAATGACCAGTTGGACCCGGCCTGAAACAGTTGGGGGTTTGCAAAGATGCTCATGCGACTGTGGCACGAGTCTAAGTGATTAAAGAAAGAGGGATAAAAGTGAGAATGTTAGCTGTTTTCTCTTAAGTCTTGAAAGAAAAATCACTGCTTATCAAATACAGATGGGTTTAAGCAAGCATTCTTACCAGAGTTCCACCAGTTGTCACATGTAGACCAGGGCAGGGGACTTTTGAAGGAATTTATTAGGTAGAAGATAGCCCATGCCAAAACAATAATGTAGTATATGTTCAGATAGATCACAATCACTTGGGACGCAAACCCCACTCCTAGAGGACAAGTGACATTTTAGATAGTTAAAGGACATTTTTGGCTGCTGTCTTCTTTTCTTTTATGACAAGAAGATAGAAAGTCAAGTCAAGTCAAGTCAAGTTTATTTATAGAGCACATTTAAAAACAACCAAGGCTGACCAAAGTGCTGTACAGTAAATACAGATAAAAATACAGTAAAACACGATTTCGTAGTAACACCTCGCTGATAAAAAGAAAATAAAAATAAATAAAACAAATAAATTAAACCTTTCTAAAAGCCAATGAAAAGAGGTGAGTTTTAAGAGCGGTTTTAAAAGTTTCTAGGCTTTTGGAGAGTCTGACGTGAGGAGGTAAGCTGTTCCACAGTCTGGGTGCAGCCACAGCAAAAGCCCTCTCTCCCTTTGTCTTTAATTTATACCTGGGAACATCTAAAAGCATCAGGTCGGCTGACCTCAAAGATCTCCTGGGGCGATAAGTACTAAGGAGTTCTGACAGGTAAGAAGGTGCAGTGCCATTTAAAACCTTAAAAGCCAGCAGTAACATTATATAAAAGCAAGTCCCAGCACCATGCACGGTTAACAAATCCTCCCTTTTATGTAATTATGTTTGAAAGTTAGATAACACCTAAGTCAGCTACTGGATCTGAAGCTTGGAATATAGACTTAGCCTTCTATATGTGACTTTCTTTACTGCTAACTGCTACACTATTGTTTTTGCAATTTCCACAAAGAAAGCTGTCAGAAATACGCAGTTCCTAAATGTGAGCCTTGTTTTTACCCTGAAACATGGGACATATCTTCCTCCAGGCAGTCACCCCACCCTCACTGGTGTACTGTCCCAGCGCTGTCTCCAAGAAAAACACGGGGATGCCACAGAAGAAGAGGAACACGCAGTAGGGGATGAGGAAGACACCTAAAATTATAGACACAAACTATTTCATCAGCAGGTGGGTTTGTTTTTTTGTTTCTTTTTTTGATTTTTTTAATGAAGGATCCTTATCTATTAGTTGAATGTTTCCATCAGAACAACTCTCCCACAAACAGAACCTCTCACCTCCTCCGTTCTTGAAGCACAGGTAGGGGAACCGCCAAACATTTCCGAGGCCAATTATTTCACCAGCCATAGAGAGTATGAACTCCATGTTGTTGGCCCATTTTTCCCTCGACAGAGCCCCATCCTCAGGAGCCTGTTTTTCTGCCTCAGAGTCTGCAGCAGGAACATTCCCGGTTGTTTCCTCAGTCATGGTCTTTCTGTCTTTTGTACAGCATTTAAATAAATATCATGGCATACCTGTTATATTCTCCCCGTCTTTCTTGCATGCATGCAAATATAGATCATGAGCTTTGTAATTTAACTGATGAGCCTCACATTTGCCCTAATAACGATTATTAAAGAGAAAAAGGCACAAAAAAATAGCATTTCATTTTTTCCTCCACTTTCTCATCGAGATTTGAATTGATGCAACTTACCAGTGAGCTTGTAGCGAGCGCCACAGTGAAATTCCTCGACTGTATGAGCGAAGTTTGCAGGAAGGTTCTATTCTATTTTCTATTGAGGGGTGTGCCCTGAAGGATAAGTAGCCACGCACGCCCTGGATGCGCCATCCCTACGAAAATGCTCGTGGATTTTACTCAAACGTCTCAACAAGCGGCGTAATGTCACACACATGCACACAACAGCCATCTCAGTGCGTGTGTTATGCACAAGTAATTGCAGAAATTACACTTATTGTCATCAGATGGAATAAAATTATGCACGATTGTATATTATCGTAGAATAATGATAGTAGCGTATGTAAGCTATGTGTGTTTGGACCCAAACTTCTAGACGCCTTAATTAATCTGGATGCTACCCACTATATAAACTGCCTAGGGTACCATATGATTATCAACATCGACACAGCTTTTAGGAAATAATTTTATAACATGCAAATTC